TAAAGATCTCCTGGTTAACCCAGGATTGTCTCTTGCCATACTTCCTATCTTTCCTACACAGTGGCCTAGTTTGCGCTTGTGCTCTTAATAATGTCTCTTTGAAAAACTGCCAACTCTCTTAAATTGTTTTTCCTCTTAAACTTGCTTCCCATGGGATCTTACCTACCAGCTCCCTGAGTTTGCTAAAGTCTGCCTTCTTGAAATCCATTATCTTTATTGTACCATTTTCCTCCTACCATTTCTTAGAATCATGAAAGCCACCATTTCATGATCACTTTCACCCAAGCTGCCTTCCGCTTTCAAATTCTCAACCAGTTCCTCCCTATTTGTCAAAATCAAATCTAGAAAAGCCTCCCCCAGTAGCTTTTGTCACCTTCTGTGTAGGATTCATACAGGGTTCATGCACTTGGCAACATTCAGGGCACACCCGGAGTGTTGTGTAGGAGCAGTGCACACATGGCTCCTCTCAAGGGCATGAACCTTGGAACTCGCCCAGATGACATGAACCGTGGGAAGCCTCCCAGGACTGGGCTCAAGGCCCAAGAGCAAGGAATGCGGTAGATAGAAATTGGTAAATAAGAATATTAAACAAAGCCAGTGTATTCCTTTTATCTGTTGGAGTATGTAATGCGCAGGAGGAGGGAGAGAAATAAAAGAGAGGGTGGAAAGCTGACAGGCAGAGCAGCCCGTCGGCAGACCAGCCTGCTTGCTTGCTTAAAGCCTTGTTCTGTCTTGTATTTGAACCGCAACACTTCTGAACTAAAACATTGTCTCCAATACATTCCAAGAACTTGTTGGATAATCTGTGCCCTGCTGTGTTATTTTCCCAACAGATGTCTGGGTAGTAGAAGTCCCCCATCACCACCAAGTTCTGTGCTTTGGGTGATTTTGTTAGTTGTTTAAAAAAAGCCTCATCCACTCTTTTTCCTGGTTAGGTGGTCTGTAGGAAACCCCCTTCCATGACATCTCCTTCGTTTTTTTAAACCTTTTATCCTTATCCAGAGACTTTCAACAAGCATGTCTCCTATTTCCATCTTAACCTCCATCCAAGTATATACATTTTTAATATATAGGGCAACACCTCCTCCCTTTTTTCCCTGCCTGCCCTTCCCGAGCAAGCTGTACCCTTCTATTCCAATATTCTAGTCATGCATATTATCCCACCAAGTCTCTGTGATGCCAACTATGTCATAGTGGTGTTTATTAACTAGGAATTCAAATTCATTCTGCTTATTCCCCATACTTCTAACATTAGTATACAGACATCTAAGATACTGATTTGATTTCCTCCCTATGTTCTCTCTTCCCTCCCTTATACCTGCTATAACAGACCATGCTCCCCCCTGATTCTGACTCTTCTTCCAGGTCTCCGTTGTAGTGGGCTTTTGTCACCTGCCCCCATCAACCCTAGTTTAAAGCCCTCCTCACTAGGTTAGACAGTTTGTGTTCAGATATGCTCTTCTCCTTCCTTGAAGTCCTGCTATGTTGGTATGATTCTCCTGCAGCCAGGCACAGTGGATTTAGGAAGCTTTGAATCAAAGTAATTCTAAGCAGCCTTAATGCCAGAGAGAATCTTTTTGTATGAGTTTGACTTTCAACTGGTATATTTTCTATAATTTTATGTGGCCAAGTGGATCTATCTACCTTAGGGTAGATGTTGCCCATCACTAGAACTATCTAAGCATAAAATCAATAGCAAGAGCAAAGTCCACAGTGGACTTGATGCAGTCTCTGGCACTTCTCCCTTTTCCAGGTCAAAACAATGAGCAGCCTGTTAAGCTGTGTTTTGTGTTGTGCATATTAATTTATATGGGCTTCCAGAGCATAAGGCTGGTACCCACAGAGGTACTTATAAATCTAAATAAATAATTGCATAACATGAATTATGAATTAAATTCTGTCACAGATGTTTAAGCAAAAACATGTGTTAATATAACCAGCAAAATGTAAAAAACAAACAAAACAAAAGAAAAGAAAAAAACATTAATTATATTCAGAAACAAAGCCCCTATTACATTATAGATTAGGCTTAGATTTTCAAAGCTGCCTGGGGTATCTGAATATCTCATGCTAAAAGCTGATGCATTGTACATGCTAAAATGACATAGATCGAACACCAAGAGATCTATGTTGTTGGTATGCTTCAAGTTACATAACTGAATGAAACATATATTACCGCAATAAATCTAACATAACTCCAGGGAAATTGACTTCCATTAAATTGTGTCTTTGGTATGTAAAAAATACCAAGATTAAAAAAAAAAAAGTATTGCATGCCAAACTCTGGGAATACGCACAAGTCATTCAGCCCTGAAGTAAACCTGCTGATTTTGGAGTAGATACATGTATCGATAAGTATTACTTTGAAGGTACTTTTTACTTAGATTTTAAAAATACATTAAATATCAGACTAAACAGTAATGATAAGTAATTCAGTCACATAGTTAATCTGGTTATGTAAATTAATGGTAATAACATGCACAAATTAATTATGTTGCAATTACATTGTGTAACTACTATGTAATTAATGTATCTGTATTGGGAAATTATCCAAAAATTTTATCAGAAGAAGGAGCCAAAAATATATAACCAAGAAATGCAAAGCCAAGATATGAAAATTTTGTTCTAAAAATTGGCAATATCCTAATTGTGTCTTTTTTAAAACCTAAAGTATACTTCAGCCACACAGTACGCATGACATGGCTTTATTGCAACATTTTCTGTAAGTAGTTTCCATTGTGGGACATTCTCACACATACTGCGATCTGACAAGTTAGGTTACAGAAAACGGGGACAGTAGAATCAAGATTTACATAGACCTCAAAGACTGAAATAACTTATGAAGCACACAGTATTAGCCAGATCTTTCAAGGGGATAAATCAGTATAGTTCCATTGACTTCAATGGAGCTATGTCAATTTATACAAGCAGAGGATCTGGCCCATGAATTCCAAATTCTTCAGAGAATATCAGAAATCCCCAGGATATTTCTGAGTGCAAGACTGTGTCATTTAAATCTGATTTAATTTGCTGGTTTTTAAATTCATGGCCAAACAGTGACTTATTGGCTATCCTTCTGAGGAAAAGGCTTAGATAAATACATTATTTCCTCAATGTTTTACTTTAGGTCAAAGTCTGCTGGGAAATATGGTACTGTAGCATGGGAGGAATTTTAGCATTTGATAAACATCTTCATTCTGTGCCAAAACACACCTCTTCCAGAGGGTGTTGACATGATGCAGATTTTAGAATAAGTGGGGAGATTGCTGTCAGATCCACCATGACTCAATTTACCACAGCAAACAAGGATATTCAGTGCAAATGATTAATGAACAAGTCAGCAGATGTATCAGATTTGAAAATTCTGTTCTTTACTCGTTGATTAACTGGACATTATTTTAATGTTTACAGCTGCCATGGAAAATGACTAGAAACCTATATTCTCAGAAAGCACATCCATCATTTTCAGGCATTCTTCCAATCTGTTAACATTAACTGCTACTAATAAGTGTCTCTGTCCAGGAAAACCAATCATTAAGATGGTTCATGTGGAATGACTTCCAAATAACGTGAGAAGTAAACTTCGCTTGGGCTACATTTCTTCTAATGAGTCTGCCGTCTTCTTTCATTCTGTCAGCAACTTTAACAAAGTCAGATGTGTTAAAAATAAAGACACAGGGCCAGCTCTTCAGCTGTTCTCAGTTGGCATTGATCCACTGAGGTCACTGGAGCTCTGCCGACGAACACCTGCCAAGGATCTGGCCCGCAATACTTTGTAAATCACCTGTTCTAGAGATTATGCAATGTGGAATCTCAGTGTATTTTCTTTTATCTAGAGGGGAGTTACAAACATTAAAAGTTGTGTTCACTGTATGGTGTCATGCGGAGCAAAATCAGGCATTTGGCTTTTTCTTCTGTGTACTTCCAGAAAACAATACTGAGTCTACTATTTAAAATACATAATTAACAACACAAACAAATGCATAAGACTTAAGGAATTAAAGTATGCTTCATCTCGTGCAACTTCAAGGCCCTAAATAAAGCTAATCACTGAGTATGGTAACATGATGGGTCACTGCCAGAAATCTGAATACAACTGGCCCACCATCTGAGCCAAGCTTGCATATGGCAATGGCTGCCTCTGTTTTCCCCTGCTGCGTCTCAGGACCATTGTGGACTGAAGAAGTGGCCAGCTTGCCTCTGACTGGCATTCATTATGGAAAAGGACTAAGATGGTCTTTCCATTGGCTGGTCTAACTTTATGGAAGTCTTAAGGCACCATGCCTTTTGCTCCTGGCCCTGGGTTCCACTGCTTGTCCCATACTTTCTTTGGTCACCACTGGAGCCCCTCACACAATTTGATAGGTGCTGCCAGCACTTTCATGGGCTACTAATCCTCAGTGTTTCTTGGTTTGCAAGAGTGCTGCTCAGAGACACTTGTGGGATGTAGCTGTTGGTACTAACAGTGGCCCTGACTCCTGGGAGGCAACTCAGCACTCCAAGTTCCTTAGGAGAGTCTTCAGCGGCCGTTCGGTCCACAGGGCTTTGTGCTTATTGCAAAGCTTCAGCTCACTTGTCTGCCTTCATCAAGGTACATGGAGAGTAGGGATGGAGGGGCAGAATACCATGCCAGAGCATCTGCAGCTGCTCCAGAGTCTCTATGACCTCCTTCCTCCACCTTAGGCAAGCAGTGCCTTCATTCAATAGCACAGATATAGGTGTGAGGTTTTTTGCAGGAGTGGTGGGTGAAATTCTGTGGCCTGCGTTGTGCAGGAGGTCAGACTAGATGATCATAATGGTCCCTTCTGACCTAAATATCTATGAATCTATGAACATGCCTAGGGAGTTCACCAGGCAGGCAGAAGTGTGGGTAGCACAGAAATGTGGTGTACTGCTTCTTTTGACAGTGGAGTCTGTCCTTGCCAGGATGTGGCAAAGGCTTTGTGACAGTAAATCACAGATTTACCTTTCTAATTGTTCTACTATATTTTATTCTACAGGGTGTTCCCTTGGAGTGTTTGGACTGCTGACCATAGAATTTTTTTCTGAGCTTAGCAATTCCTGGCCACCAAGAGGCTGGGCTCGCAGCTGCAATACCATGAAGGCATAAGCTGGATCACCTAGGAAAGGACCAGGATTATGTGTTATGACCCTCATCATGCAGCACAAGCAGTTTCCACCATCATCAAGAACCAGCTTCAAGCCATTGGTTAAAGTAAAGTAGGACTGGATAGCACTATGGAACTTCCAGAATCCATGTTGTTCTGATTTGTACTTTTCCCATTTGGGTCCAGAGATCATACACTGGGAGATTAGAAACCATACTTGACCTTGCAGTGAACAAGGCATAAATTAGAGAGAGAGAGAGAGAGTTATTATGAGAGCGCCATGCTGTTTTGATGGACTACTCTTAAATTGGTGTACATAACTGAGCTGCTTGGTGGCCTCCTGGACACCCCAGTCGAGTGCATTGGGGTGGAATGTTGAGGGTAACTTAATTCTTGAAGGGAGGGGAATAAGGTCCATGCTTCTTACCAAATTCCATAGTTTCAGGAACAACCTGCACTTGGGCAGCTGTGATATAAAGCAATAATGCAACAATGACCCCAAGAGCAGTGCACAGTTAGTAGCATCCTTTTGATGAGAGATACTACTACGTTGGTTGGTTGTGGTAATGATGATAATGAACATAACCGCGCATGGGTTTCACAAACCTACTTAGGTGCCCCACTCCCATTAATATCAATGGGAGTGAGGTGCTTCAATACCTTTGTGAATCCCAACCTACAGCTCTTATTTATTAGGTGGAATTGAGCACCAAAGTAGAGTCCAAAGGCAAAAGTGCCAATTATTGTAGGTTAGAGGACGAGCACAAACCTATAGAATAGAAACCCCCTCACGCTGTTACTATGTGTTATATGGGAGGGGCTTCTTCTTTCTGTAAATTACTGTTAAAAATAAGAATGAACATGAGCAAAGAAAGTCAAGATTACTGCCAGGTTGTACCATTTGTTTGGAACCAGAACTCCTCCTTGATTTCCGTGGCGAGTCCTGCTTACAAACGACTGGCACAATAAGGCCCATACAGTACTACATAAATTGTACAGCAACTTACACAGCCAGTGAAATACATGCAAACATTAATTAAGTTAACCTGGCTCATTCATATTCATGCATGAGAAAGCCATTTTCCCTGGAACTTTTCATACTTCTTGTATACTACTTGTATACTACTTTTCATAAATCCTTTGATTTATGTGCACAGCGCCACATTGACAATTCTATACTTTTCTTAGACGAAAAGTCAAGAGAGGAAAGAGGCAAATGAGTTTACCTGTCTCTGACCATGTACAAACTACTCTGGGCCAAATGGAACTGATGCTCTAACTATAAGAGTATATATCAGAATTCACTAAATGCAGAGAATGACCTCCCGATACATCAAAGAATATTCACATTAATGCTTCATGAGTGTAATTAACGTTTTTAAGCATTGCAAGCCTTTTGCACTCTTGTGCTCTGCAGCTTACTAATCAGCATGTTTGATATTTACTGCTATTGCTTCTCTGTGTTCATTGGGTTCGTGGTAACAGATTCATGAATGAAAAAACAACGACATTTGAATGCTACATCTCCTGGCCCAAAGAACACTGAAGTAAATGGAAAGACTCCCACTGGCTTCACTGGGCTTTGGATCAGATCCAGTAGCATGAATGAAGAACTGTCCATCATTTTGGTCTCATGCCAGCACTTTTACCTTCCACCTATAAAATGGAAATAATGATATGGACTTCCTTTGTAAAGTGCTTTGAGATCTCCAGATAAAAAGTGCAAAATAAGAGTTAGATATTATTATATAAATATAATCCCTTAGACATTTTAAGCAATAAAATAGCATTCAAAGAGAAATACTGTATTTCACTATCTTTTCTACAGCATGACTGAAAAACAAATGTTTTGTTTAAAAATCAGGCCCCAGATTCGGTTCTGAGTGCACTGTTCTATACTAAAAGAAAGACTAGTGAGAGCAATTACATGTTCAGAGTCCTGCTCGCTCACAAACGCCTTCCATTGTGAGAGTGTTTATGCAACTGTGTGTGTGGCACAAAGGTTTTTACTACCTTCTCTTACAGCAGCCTATATAAAAACACTTTCTTTTTGATTGTTTCTCTTTATATTGTCAAGCATGTTTGCATTCTAAAGGGTTTTACCTCATTAAAGCAATTACTGTTAGTTTGTTGCTTTTTTTTTTTTCTCTCAGCAAACAGCTCTTGCTAGCTCAGGATGTTCTGTATTGCCCAGGGTAGCAGTGGGAGGCACCATTCTGAGAAAGAATCAACACAGCTTTTCTGTAGCTGGAGCACCAAAAACAGCACTAAGCTTAAAAGAGAAGGAAAATGGAACTGAACTCCACCTGCTCTAATAGTCCCTGCCCTCCCTCTGCCTGACACAGGTTCAGGAACAGGAACAAAAATTTTCAGGTACAAGGCTTACCATGATAAGAAAGCAAATATAGTAAAGACTGATTGATCTGACACAGGGCCAGATTTTAGCTCATCCAGAAGTGACTCTTCAGGGGTATAAGAGAAAGTAAGGCATTCCCACTGCTGCCTGGCCCTCCTGCATTGCACTCTAGGTGCTAGAAGGAGTGATGGGCCCATATGTAGTATGGCCCTTATTGTGCCAGACCCTTAATCAGTTGGGTGGGGAGAGGATGGAACCTTGAGTCTTCCCCCACAATGCACCAGCCTGTGCTGCTGAGCCAGCGCAAGGTGGGGAATATGTCACACCTGGTAAGGTGCGTTAGCAAATTGCTTCCTGCTGGAGCAAGCAGGGGAGGGAATCAGAGAGGGTCATAGATCCTCCCTTGGGTAGCATGGTTACATGTCCCTTTTGCCGGGCTGAGCTTGAAGGCGAAGTCTACCTCACAGTAACTTTTATTTATGATGAAATAGAACAGGGGTTCTCAAACTTCATCGCACCGTGGCCCCCTTTTGACAACAAAAATTACTACAGGCCCCAGGAGTGAGGCCTGAAGCCTGAGCCCACCCAAACCCGGCTGCCCTGGGGGTGGGGGAGGGCAAAGCCAAAGCCCCATCTCCCCAGGCAAGGGTCCTGTAACCAGAGCCCTGCTGCAGAAGGCTGAAGCCTTTGGGCTTGGGCTTTGGCTTTGGCCCTGGGTCTCAGCAAGTCTAAGCCAGCCCTAGCAACCCCATTAAAATGGGGTTGTGACCCACTTTGGGGTCCTGACCCACAGTTTGAGAACTGCTGAAATAGAATCATTGTCAGGGCCAGACCTAATTATCTGTGATATTTTACTTAGCAGCCAACATGGCAGTATCTGATGACAAATGTCCCAAGAGAATGAAAATTCCTAGAGAGAAGACCTGAAATGTGTGTCTCTGAAGATCTAACCTTAATTGTGATAAGGAGCAAGTTGGTGCAGGAAAATAATAATTCATTATAGATTTAACAGCCTGGAAAGCACACAACACTCAATAAGGGGACCCTTTACTTTGCAGAGTACATATAAGCAACTAACCTGAGTCTCTCAGTATCTATAGAATTATGAACTGAGCCACAAAGAAAAGAACAACTGAAAGAGAAGGTTCTGTAGCATGTTCAGGGCAGTCCCTCTTGAGGAACTTTGTGATTATTACCTCTATTAAACAATACACAGTGATCGCTCCAGACGGGTTTTTCCCTTCAGATCTTAAACCAGGAGGATCCTAAGATTCCGGGACAGATACTCCACTGCTCTGCACCTTTTGTATTTATATTTGTGTAAAGTGGATACAAAATGCTACCATTAAGAATTCTGATTAGGTCTCATTTTACACTCACTTGGTACAGGTGTGAGTGACTATATACAGCAGTAGAGAAACAGATCCTCTGGTTCAATTATGAATCATGCTCTGGCCTGTTGCTCCTCAGGTAGATCTTCCAGGAATTCTCCTGGTGTAGAAGAATTCCCGAGTAGCTTTGAGCCAGAGTAGTTGGCTACTTTGCCATGTCCCTTTCTGGTCCTCAGTCCAGGGAGCACAGTTCAAATGCCACTGCAATCTGGAGATCCCTGGCTGGTACGTGAGAGCCATAGCAAGATCGGTGAAGTTTAGAGTAGTTTGGGGTAAGTGGGCTTATTTGAGGATTGAGTCTTGTGTTCGACTCACCACCACCAGTTATGCCGTGTGAATAACTGGGTACAGGCAGCAGGAAAGGCTGAGGTTAACAGGAAGACTTTAGAGCACTCCTTTCTCCTCCTGGCTTCACACAGGAAGGTTGGATGATCTTAATTGTGCCTAGTCTTAGCTGTTTTACTCATGTAAATTTAATTGGAATTTTGCATTAGTAAGGACTATAAACTCACTGTGTAACTGAGGGTTAATTCCATGCCCAAAACAGAAAGCAAGTGATACAACAGTGATTGTAAAGAGTTCCTCTCTCTTTTCCTTACTATTGGCTGCTCATGCTGCTGGCCCGGATTTCTGGGAGGTGCTGAACAGCTCCCTTTCAGGCTCCAACTCCAAATCTTTATTCTTTAAATAAATCAAAACCTTAAAACCCCCAATGCCTCTTTCTTTGCAATCATATAAACTACTTAAGCCAAATAATTCCCTCCAAATGCCCCCATCAATTCAGAGTCCAAATTGATGTTGTTTTTCTTTCATTTGCTACACTAGTGCAAGATTTTCAAAACATCTGCATGATCAGTAATCCTATGGTTTTCTTAATTTATCTTATGCCTGCCTGAAAGGTCTACTGTGATCAAATCAAAATCACGGCAGTTTATTCTAACGTGATCTCCCAGTACATCTTTATCCACACGCACTCTTTATAAATGTGGCTTGTATTTATTTATTGATTATCTTGATAACTCTATAAAGTGTCAGTGACTTCATTAATAAAATAATGCTATTGCAATATTAATAATTAATTATGAAAAGGGTAATAATTTAAGGACAAAGGAACTTTAAAAAAAAGTAAACATATGACCCACAGTGGCTGCTTGTTGGAAAGTAGCAAAACATGCATTGCAAAGACTGTAATGACTAGCATCTGCTTCGTCTGTTCAACAGCCAACAATTCTAGACATTTATCATTTCTCCAAAAGAGTGATGTTGACCAAAAACATGGAGAAAAGCCATTCAGAAGCTATTTTGTGTAAATGAAGTGCAGATCTGTGTATGTGAGATGATACCCCCTTTTCTGTTTCCTTTCATTAAGATCACAACATTAGCACTGGAAAATAATTATTACTGTTACAGTCAAAGTCACTATAATGCTAACGGCACAGAGAATCTCAATGAGTTCAAGGAAGAAAAAATCTTTTAGAATGGAAAAAAAATACTTTCAGTTAATGAAACTGCACAGGCTCTGGTATCTTATTGTCTCATCTTCTCACCATCATGTCACGTGTGTCATTCATTTTATTCTAAGAGAACATTTATACAGCAGCACTGTGAATTTCCCAAGGCTGCATACTCTAGCTGTGGGATCTTTGCTAGTACTTAGGGCCAAATCCTGCTTGCTCACATGACCAAAATAATCCCTCGAGTCACTACATTGGAGGGTGACCATACATCCCGTTTTGGCTGGGACAGTCCCCTTTTTAAGCTCTGTGCTGGACATCATTGGCAAAATTGGCAAAAAAATGGGGCCACGAAGGAACGTTGGGGCAAGAGAAAATGGGACAAATGCCCAGTTTTGCCAAAAAAGGCATGACGTCCATGACCTTGGCTTGGGCAAGCGGCCACCCCAGAGGGCCACGGGGTGCTGGCCTGAGCCGCCTGGCATTGCTGCTTACCCAATGTACTGTTTTCACTTTAGGGAAATATGGTCACCCATACATTGGCTTCAGTAGAGTTAGAGTTCTCTCAAGGATGAATCTGGCCCTTTGACTCCCATGAGTAGAGCTGCTCCGATATTACAAAAGCTGTTCGTGAATGGTTATATGAATTCTGAATGACTGTTCCACATGAGCATGTTCTCATCCCCTTTCTATTCATGAGCAGGCGCCAGCTTGTTTGTTCAAACAAGTATATGTGGGGATGGCTAGTCATATAATTATTAGGATTCACACATGAACAGGAGGATTTGTACACAAACAAGTGTATTTTTAATTCACGATTCATCATTCATGATTTGTCGGTGGGGTGCTCGCGGGATGAGGCTTGCTCTCCTCAGCAAGGGTCTGCTGGCTCATGTCCTGCAGGAACAAGATTCAGCCTGAGATCAATATGCAATTTCTGAAGAGCAGATGACTGAGTTTTATGTCTTTTCCTATTTATCGGCATCTCTTGCTCAGTCTCCCTCTGTCTGTGCCTCTTCCAAGTTTATTCATGCTCTGTGTCACTCTGGGCATGGCTACTCTGCAATTGTGGGATGTGATTGCGGCTCAAATAGACATAACCCAAGGTAACTTTACTCTAGCGAGCTCAGGTACAGGAGCAGTGAATTTGCAATAGTGCAGCTCAGGGTGTACCTGGGTAATTACTGGTGGGGTTACCCCTCATTGAAATATGAGTTGCTGTGGCTTCACTGCTCTGGTACCTGTTCTAGCTAGATTAAACCTAGCTTGGGTATGTCTATGTAAGCTGCAATCACACCCCTTGATAGCAGCGTGGCTGTACCCTTGGGGTCCAATCTTCCCCTCATTGACACTGCTAGCAAAATTTCCATTGACTTCAGTGGGAACGGATTTGGGCCCAGACTCTCCACCCTACCTAGTAGTCGCACTGTGAAATCCATCTGAATTCTCCTTGTTTGCAACACCCATTTTCTTGTAGGTTACCTACAGCCATATCCATCCCGATCTGTTGAAGGCAGTAGGAGCTTTGTTTGCCTGCATAAAAACCACGGCAGTCATGGGCTCTTTAACAAGGAACCTTCAGACACAAAGCACCACCATTGTGCTTTCAAAGCCATCATGGAAAAAGTCTACTAACCTATTTGTTACACAGACCATTCACCTGCTCTGTTAAAATAGCTTTAAGGTAAAAATGAAAGTGAGATTTTTTTGGCTTTATTTCTAGATCCAAGTTAAATTCTGTTAATGATTGGTCCCCAGAGCAGAGGAGTCCCTTCGTTCCTCATGTGCCTGACATCTTATAAAACTGCAACACTTCCCTGGAGCTTAGATGGATTTGGCACATGGACAATGCACCTCCACATTGCTGGGAGAGGCCACTGAAAGTACACAATCCCCAGCCGGGAATGATTTAGTGAAATTAAAA